AATAAATAAGGATTTAATTTTATATAATTCACAAAATTGCTAAGTCTATACAAAATCTATAACAATTTCATAAAAGTCGCACTTATATGTACATCAACCTATGCGGTCTCCTTTATCACTACTTAATTTATAAGTGGCCTCTAATGGTAAAAAGCTTCCCCGCCTCTGGTATAGAGTCACGTTATATGTCAGAATTTTGAGTAATTAAAAATAACCTAATTACTAGATATTTCATTCGGGATGTAACTCCGTTGTTTTTTTTTTGACCACAAGATAAGGTATATTTTATACATACTGGGCTTAATCACTCAATTTTTTATGTGTAACATCTTTACTCTCGGTTGCTGGATATTTGTTGGAGTGATTTCGTGGAAAGGGACGGAAATGCGTAACAGGAAGTCGGGGGAAGAGCGCCCTTTTTGATTTGACCAATTCAGCGCCTTGGGGTGACTCTTCGCTAGCCTCGTCTGGGGGTCCAACTGTAGTAGCAATTAAGACGCCCGCCTACCGCACATACCAGCAAGTCTTATTAGACTTCATTCAGAACAAACTTGTGATTCTTACGCTCAATTGTCAAAGTCTCAGGGCTCGTTGTGTGGGAAATCTGAGAACATATTTATACATGTGTAAACTATATATTAATAATAATATTTCTTGGTAAGCGTCTGACAAAGCTCATAATTCTTAAAAAAAATAGGAGTAAGTAATATGGAATTATTTGAATAAATATTTAAGTGCTTATCATTTTCATACTTTGAGGTTAATTCCTGTCACTGTCAATTTAATATTTTTAATTGTGATTAAAAAAGATTTCTCGATTAAAAAAACTAATTAAGTAAACGGGTATTTTTGATTTTCTCTAATATTTCTAATTTTTAACACGCTTTTATAAGTTTCACTTGCATGTAACGGAATCTTAGAACTCGATTTTTACCCATTTAAAAAGATCGGATTCATTCGAAATTTCGCACACTTGTCAAGGACCGATGACAATACAATAATTTCATAATTTTGTTTCATTGTCCTTTTCAGGATCGTCAGGAATAAGGATAATCAGATTTGGCGACAATTCCATATAACACCTCCAGATTTGGCGACTTATTGCATATACAGTTTTCAAATTTGGCGACTAACTGCATATACCATTTTCAGATTTGGCGACAAATTTCATACATCATTTCCAGATTTGGCGACTAATTTCAGATTTAGCAACTAAAATAATAAGGTGTAACCCTAAGCCGAGTGTTTTGAATTTAAAGCTAATATATGCAAGTATAAAATACACTTGCGGTTAATAGAAATAAAACAAAAAAAAAGTGTTCTGTCTCTTAGAAAGTGGAGGGTGGGTGGGTGTTAGCAATTTTTTACCATAATATAAACATTTTTCTGAAAATGAAAATTAAAAAAAAGCTCGTGCATGTGGATAAAAAATAATTTGCGTTCTAACTGCTAAATATTTTTTTTATTTTTATAAAGCTATACGTTTAGAATTGATGATACGAATTAACATGAACACGTTTAAAAGGGGAAAAAATGATTGACACTTAATATTACCATGTTTTTATTAACTCGCTTTCTTTAATGTCTGTCCGGGTGGAATTTTGTAATTGATTTTAAACTGTGTGACTTTCCGAGGAGCTAGAGACTTGAAATTTTGACCATAGCTCAGAAGTGGATGACAATGCATGAAAATGTGAAAGAAAAAAAAACAAAAACGAAAAGGAGGAATTTTATAATTTTTAGTCCGTAAGAAAAGCATGGTACATTAATAATTTTTTTAATTCGAACTTTTTGTTCTTTACACACTTTTATTTGTTTGACCTGTTCAAAAGAGACGGAATCTAATATAACGATACGGGACTCATCCGAGGCCTCGTTAACGGAGAGAATAAATACACATCAGACCCGCTAATTAATATCCATTGAAGAGAAAGACTAATTTCACAGCCACGAAATTCCAGCTTTAAATATCAAACTCAAGGATAAATTCAACGATGAATAAATGATAGTTCAAATAACTAAAAAACACGCTTTTATTGTAGTTCGAACTAAAAAATGAAAAATATAGTTTGAAAAATAAAAAACACGCTTTTATACTAAATCGAACTAAAAAGTAAAAAAAAAATTCTTAATAAAGAATAAAATGATTAACGAGAAAATGAATGTCATTGGGGTAAAAGCGTGGGGGTGTTCTATAAATGTATCTATTGTTATAATTTCTAACTTCTATTCCGAAAAGCTGAATTAGTGTAAAAATGTAGTACAAAGCACCCCACGCTTTTACCACAATGACATTCATTTTCTCGTTAATCATTTTATTCTTTATTAAGAATTATATTTTTACTTTTTAGTTCGATTCAGTATAAAAAAGCGTGTTTTTTAGTTTTTTTCAAACTATAGTTTATTAAGCATGCGCTTGACGGTGTCTCTTCACTAGCCTCGTCTGGGGGTCCAACTGTAGTAGCAATTAAGACGCCCGCCTACCGCACATACCAGCAAGTCTTGTCATTTTGGTGGTAGCATACATTTCACCGAATCAAACAGTTAAAAAAATTAAAGATTTCCTGCATTTTGTACTTTTACCGTATACCGAAGGTGGTTCTGCTCTTTTAAAAAAAAACTATCACTCACTTCCCATGATTTTGAGAGGTGATTTTAACGTTAACTTCAGGTTTGCCAGAAGCTGAGCCGCTCATAGCTTTTCTGAAAGATGAACTCAAGCTCGAAATGAACACTAATCGAAATGTTTCGACAACTAACAGTGGTACTGTTATTGACGCTATTTTTCAACGGTTTTTAAATACTTTGAAATCACACGTATATGTGTCATACTTTAGTTTTCATAAATTTAGTCTCCGCTCTTCCCCAAATTAAGCAATAATAAATATCTTTGATAAAAAACTGCATTACTCCTTGTCTTAATTAAATAAAATTTTCATTAAAGATATAATTATTCGATAGAAAATTATTTCCAGTCATAACCGATTCATTTCTTTCAGGATTAAAATCACTATTACGCATTTACCATGATAACAAGTCAGATATTACACATCATATGCGACTACTATAAGACTCGTTTTTTTTAAAATTCGTATTCTGAATGCTTTATTGATACCTACGATGCAACACCTGAATTTTCAACAACGTGAAACTCTTGATTATTAGAAACATAGGAAAGATTAGTTCATTTGCCAAAATTTAAGAGACATTCCCTCAAAATGTTTTGGTGTACGAGTTACATAAAAATTCCTTTAAAACACTTCATCTTTTTTCTACAAGATTCAAAAAGTAAAGAAGGTCAAAAACATAAATTCATCATACGAGAATGCAAATGACACGCAACCCTGATTGGCTTGGGAATTACAGCTGAAATGATATTCAAATGAAAAATACCTTTTTTTTTACCTCGCTGCACTGAAATAAGGATAAAAAAAGTTTTGTCACCTTGTAAAAGAGTTATATTACGTGGAAAGGAATTTTTTTTTACGCATGTCTAGATTTTATCTAATGTCTTTAATCCCAGTTATATTTACATAAGTAGGTTTTTTCTCTTATTGAACATCTAGTCAAACATAAAAAACTTTTTTTTTACAATAACATTTTTTGTCTTAACGTATGTATACGGAATCATTTTTATATAAAAAAATATATAAAAAAAATCTAAAACTTATCACTAAATGATAGTCCCTAAATTAAAAATTTGTGTCACGATTAGGTAATTTTTTAAAAAAAAAAAATGTATTTAGCACTTTTAAAAATCTTTTACATGTTATGTAATCTGCTCAATGTTATATAAATCTTTTTATGTTATATATTTTACATAAATGGAAATGCAGAATTCATATATCATTCCATAAAAGTCAGTTAGTGGTAATTCAGATATGAAGTCAGTAAACTGTTTTAACGTGTTAGTCATATTAAAGTAAGAATTTTTTTTTTTAAAAAAAGAAATTTTTTTTATTTTATTCAAAATTCTTTCAGTGTTATCATTTTTTGTATTATGAATAATTCATATTTTTATTCCTGATGTACTGATGATATGAATTTTATTACCAATTAGTTATTTTATATACTATCCTGGTCTAACACACACACATAATGGTTATGAATTGAATAATTATCAGATATTTACAACTTTTTCACTCAGATAATTTTCAAGCTATGCACATAAAGAAGAATTAATATCTATTACTTATAATTCGTAAATATTGATCATAGCATAGATATAACATTATTCTACCATTCAGATTTGTTGTTTTTGTCATAAATTGATTCAATAAACAAAGGTAAGAAATGTCTCAAAATTCATTATTAAGAGATAAATATTAACTAAAAAACTGTTATTAAAGGAGAGTTGTCATCGAAGAATTGAAAAATAAAGGAGAACTGGTATAACTGACCACGAGAATCGTGATGGTTTAGCAAATGGCAATTGAAACCAGTTACAATCAACCCCTTATATAACGACAATCCGAGGTTCAGCATTAAACGCCCGGGACCAAACTTGTTTACTGTGTGTAACATTCGCAAGGTAAGTTTGTTTTATCTGTGATTTTAGGGCAAAAGAACCTTTGCCGTAAGCTTTTTCTTATTTTTTTTCTGTCTTTTGTCACTTTGTTTTTCTAAAAATTATCTCTATAATTGTTTAATTCGAAGCAAAAGTAAAGCAGTTTACTTATTGATTGCACTGAAATATTTGGAGCAATACATAGGAAACTAATTTTGACTTAGTGTTACTTCATAACTCTTTTTCAATTCCTAGTTAACTCTCTCTCTCTATATATATATCTTGTTCAAATTTTCAATCGTTAATAAAATATTTTCTATTCATCCATTCAAGTTCAAATACAATTTTGTAAAACTTTGTAGTGGATGACACTTGATGTTAATACAGTTTTTTCAAATATTAATTCATTAATTAAATTTAAAAAATGAATAAATAGTAATAAACAAAAAATAATAGCCCAACAACATATATAGAAAGGAAAATCGTTCGTTGTGTCCCTGTAGCGCAATGAATAACGCGTTGGACCTAATCCAAAGGTCGTCGGCTCGAATCCTATCTGGGATGGACTTAGTTTCTGAGAATGTGATTTCTTTTTTACTATACTATTTTGTTGGAATAATTAAATTTAATGATTGATTAAATAGTAACAAACAAACAAAAAATAGTCCAACACCATACATAAAAGGAAAAATGGAAAAAATTGCAAGGAAAATCGCTTTTTATTTTGTCACTTAATATTGTGTGATTCTGTCATATGTATATACATATTTATATTAATTGTAACTATTTAATAAAAAGTAACCAAAATAAAATTATTCTTTGTTGAACTAAGAAGGAATTGACTTAATTTTTTAAAATATTTTCTGTTTTCTCATAGTATAAATCCGAATAAAAGTTTAAAAGACCGATTTCAATCAAAACACACATTTTTTTTATTAAATAGGGTAATCTTTTGGCTTTATTAAACACTTGTTATTTTATTTCTCCGTTACATAGAGGACGAATCACATTGAATTACATAAAATTAGAAAAGCAGGAAGGTACATTTAGTTTACATACGTGGGAACTTAAACTGTTCAAAATCTGTCAATCGAGTTGATGAAACGTATTGAAACTGATATTTATATTATTTTCTAGGAAATGTACTAAACTATTTCTTACTGTATCATTATTTTTTGAGTTATAATCTGTTATTTTAATAAAAGCCTCATAAACATGTAAAGTTTCATATATTTATTCGATCAGATTTAAATTTTTTAAATTTTAGTAAAACACTAAAAGTTTAGTACATACCCTAAATAAGTGTTAGTGGTTTATTTTAGTAACACTTTTGTTGATATAAGTTTATTACTTCTTTCTCTGATCTAAAGATTTTTAAAAAAATAATTAACATTTCACTTATAATTGAGATTTTTGTAAAAATTAGGTGAATTATTTTAAATATTGATGGCGAAATATGTTAATATATTGGTATAGATACCTAAAGAGTATTCATAATGCTTTAGTATGCTATTAAAAAAAGTACCCTGAACGAATTCGGATACCTTAAAATACTGCTATTAAAATATTTGATCAAGAAGTACAAAATGCTGACCCATACGTATAAGTAAAGAAATTTTAATGAAGAATTTTGAAAATAAATAAATTGTTTATTTAGCTATTATGTGTAAAGAGCATACAGTTATTAATTTTATCTTTTCTAAAAGTGTTTTTTTTCCAATGGGGCTGCGTATTGGTGTTTTACCATTGCAGATCTAGTACATTCACCGGAGAGCTGGTATATCTTTTTTTTTAATGCAGCACCAAAAAGATGGTATTCCATTCACAGCAAGCTATTTTGATGTCCAATTTCCTCGCCAGAGAGAAATATCTGAGCTCTGACGATGCGAAACCGTACTAGGAATTTAATCTTGCCGCGAGAGCACCCAAACCAAACAGGTACTCAAGAGATCTTTTACATGCCGCAAATCATACGACATGGGCACTGTAGATTTTTTGCATCACGAAAATCCATCGACTTGGGCTGGGATTGAACCCACAAAATTGGGTGTACTAGGCCAGCGCCAAATCAACTACGCCACCCAGCCGGTCTTTTTAAAAGTATGGAATATACGATCTTTCGCGTATTATTTGGTGTCATCCTCGTCACTTGACCGTGGTCCATCGTCAATAGCTCTCGTGTGCGTTAACTATCTATTATTATTTTTTGCGTTAAACTATCTATAGGTGCAAAGAGTAATTCTTTTATATGTCCGAATTTTCTTTCTATTTGTGAATTACATGGATATACAAATACAATTTAAAATTAAATTGTTATAATGTCGTGAAACTAGAGAAGTTTTATTATCGCATTAGATAACAATCTGCACACATATTTGTTATAATTTTGCATGTTTAGTTAAACTATTTTTATAACTAATTTTAACATTAAATGCATTATTTCATATTAATGCATCTATTTCCCTTTCATAGCTCTCGTGTTTATTTCTAATTTCAATATACTGCGTGGGTAAATTAATTTTCAGATTCCATTCAAAGCTCCCGAAGCGACATTTCGGCGTACGTTTTCTCAAACACCTAAACAAGTGATAAGAAGAGTGATAAACAAGCGATCAGCGCTTCTCAAACTTTCAATATTTGCGACCTAATTTTAATCATAATTTTCACATACAATAACAAAATATTGAACACCACAATAATATCCGTCCCCCAAAGCCCTCGTGTAGCTGAACAGTGGGACGTTAATATTCACTCACTCACCATAATAATATACTAACCTCACAGCTTGAGAAACGCTGGATCAAATGATAAAATTTAATAAAGAAAAACCAACTGTGATACTGTACTTTGTACTCCCTAATTCCCCCCCCCCTTTAAATACAGCAAACATCTCGCAACAAAGTTTCGAATCATTTTTCCTCTAAATGTTGTTGTGTGTACTTTATCTCACCATCTCTTTTCTGTCAACATGTCAAATTGTCAAAATAATTACTATCATGAGAAAGAAAGGAATTTTCATTTAAAAGAAGGAAAATTTTTTTCTCCTCCCCATCTCCTCGATGCCGAAAGCCATTTCCAAATGAATGAATAAGCAAAGTAACCTTTGCAATCCGGTGGATTATTGGAGGCGAATATGACAACGACGTCATGGATGGAAAAAAAGATCCCATTCGTTGATCCGCTTCCGAGAGATTAAGGGTTGCAGAGATCGTTGGCGAGGCCAAGAGATCGCCAATGTTTCTCGCCTTGGAATAGATGGTATTTCCTTTTCCGGTCTTGTTGGTGGTTGATGTGGTTAGATATGTAGATAGATATCTAGATAGATATGTGGGTGATCTGAATGTCATATTAAATGATAGTGGTGACAGACAAAGACTTTCGAGAAATAAAAGAAAACAATAATGAAATACAATTTGAATGGATTTATAATGATAATTAAGAATACAGTCATGTATTTATTTAAAAAAACTATTTAGAAATTTCAACGGAATGAAGTTTAAAACGCAAGAAACTTGATTGCAAATCAGAAAGAAATATAGAAATTAAGGTAATTTATGTATAATCTTAATGGAAAGAATGCAAATATTTTTAATTTTAAATATTTTCGATTATTTTTTTAATAAAATGACAAAACAGATATATAAAAAAAAATGCGCGGTTAACACTCTTAAGGTTAATTTTTGGATTGACATTCGATAATAGAAGTATATAAGAAGTACACGCGATTTAAGGATAATTTTTTTGTTAGTATATTTTCCACTTTTAAAAATTTAAACACAATTTCTTACTTCCTTACTCTTTAATATTACTGGATTTTTTATTTTTTTTATAAATCAAAAGACGATGAACATTAAAAAATAATTTTATAAAATTTGTCATTTAACAAGATGTATTGCACACATTCACGCAGAACAATGACATAAATTTGAAAACCAACAAGTATTTAAAGCGAAATCCAAACACTTTATATGATTCTTGCAATACATTAATAAAGTTCTTTCATCCTCTTCAATAAACACACATTAGTTATGTGGCCAAATTGATCTTTAATTTAACAATTATTTAAACATATACACCCGACATCACAAAACGGCACGCGACATCACCAACCGGCACGACACTTAACCAAACTAACAGAGTTCTGATCCTCCGCGCAACTCGTTTGCGCAGCTCACAAAATCCTTCTTCAAATTCCGGAAGGGTTATTTAACGGCCGATCTGAAATGAGTTAAGGGATTCTTACTCCATTATTTTTGTATTTATATTTCAAAGAAACCGAAATTTCTTTTCATTCATTTGCTAAATGGTTCTAGGAAATAGTTTTTGAGTTCCATTCACTAATTTAAATGTAAGTGAAATAGTGATTAATAATCGTACCACCGTCTTTATTTGTGACGTGGGATGAGCAAAGCACTAATGATACAGAAAATTAAGTCCTTATTATTCTATTAGTAAAGATTGCTTTCTCACTCGCCACAAATAATATCAAATTAATGTGCTGTGAAAAAAGTTGTGTTTTTAAAAATCTCATAACACTTCATACCAGTAGAGCACACAAAAGTTTTTCAAGGGGGGGGGGAGACCATGGTCGGAAGTCCCCCAATTCGTATCATACCTCAAAACAACACCAATTGATTCTCCTGATTCTGTTAACAAAAAACAGTAAAAAATAAATTATTTAATTAATAATTAGCATTAATTAATAAAATAAATTAATTACAAGTACTTAATTAAATGTAACGTTATATATATATGATTATCATCAATCGAAAAAAACTCAAGGGCTTTGGGGGGTGTCCGGACCCCCAAGACCCCCCCCCCCCTCCTTGTGCGCACCGTTGCTTGATTCTTTTGGGGCTTCGAACTGGAACTGAACCAAAAACCGGAAAAAACTGTTATTTTGGTCGGAATGAAAACCGTAACTGAACCGAAAAAAATATCAGTTTATTTCGGTTCGATATATCTTCAGTGGTTTTGTTACTGTAAACAACTTATCAATATTTACTAATTTAACGTTAATCGTATAATTGTATAGTTATGAATACTTTGCTCCTCGATTTCCTCTTTTGATGTTCACTAGTATTTTTCTGTTTCGCAAGAAACTACTTGTAGAAGGTAGATTTAATTCATTTGAATGTACTGGAAGTATAGATGATTTCTTTAAGAAAAATATCAGTCTGAGTTATATTTTTCGCATCTCTGCATGCGATTATCCTCGGATGTTTGTAAAGACTGTTTAGATAGACAAACCATCATGAACCTAGTTGTCAAAGGCGATTTTGATAATGGATAACAATGCAAGTGCTCACCGTTCTCAGCTCACCACACGTATCGTGAATGAGTGAGTGAGTGAATATTAACGTCGCACTGTTCAGCTACACGAGGACTTTAAGCGACGGACCTCGCAATTTTGAACCATGGTCAAGTGACGAGGACGACACCAGAGCTGGCACCCCTTCTCCTAACTACCCCACTCCATAGCCAACATTATTTTAAATTGATTTTTCGAGCGCTTTGACCGTGGTAGCCAAGTGGTTAAGGTATCAGATCATGGCAGGCATGTC